TTGAGTGAATTTGTAGAAAACAAATGTTCTCGAAAAACGGGAACTAAAACGTTCCCTTACGTCACAAGCAGTGGGGATAAGTATTGTACAATGGCAAGGATGTCAATTTTTATGGAAGTACCGTACAAAACGAAAAACGATGTAAGTTTCGAGAGAGAAAAAAAAAAAAAAAAAGAAAGAAAGAATCTTAATCCAATATTAATATTTGAATATAAATTAATGGCATATTTTAGACGAAGATTGCAAGCATAACAGTTCCAACGTTCGCTTCCAAAGTTAATGTCAACGGAGGTTGTTCTGCTAACTTAGTTATGATGCAATTAATTTGGCCTGTATCCTCGAACAATAGTCAGGCAAATGCGAACGAGAAACAGAATTCAATTTCGTTTCTTTTCTTCAAAAACGAAACGACTAGCACGATATATAACATTAAGATCGAGATTTTCACGGACGAGACACAGTTTAAGGACGTCGAGAGTACGTGCACAAAGTAACATTAAATTAAAAAATACGTGGTGTTTTTGCTCCTGCTAAAACGTAAACGATAAATCTGTTTAGAGGTAGGTGAAAAAATTGTGATAGACACGGGATTCGATGCTTCTCTGTTTCCGGCACCTGCCGAAAATGGCATCTACAGTTGTCCAAATGAAACTAAAATTACGAACGACAACGGCAACGTAACCATAAGCGACGTCCTCTTGGTCGCGTTTGACGCCGAGAAAGATTTCTCCTCGAAGAAAGGTAAAATATTTCGTTGTCATTGGGCGAATACGAAAGATCAGAAATTAAAAAAAAAAAAAGGGGGCTAAATTTGAATTTTTCAGTGATCGATTGTAGAGGTTTTCTCTTCGAAGATGACTTCAACTATATCATAAAGGAAAAGGATACGAACATTCCCTGTACTGTGGCGAACATGTCGATCACTGCGACTCTGCACAAGGATGTAATGTCCTAAAAATATGTGATGTATAACTTTGTTTCTGCTATTGTTGCAATGATATGAAATCTTAGACTCTGTTCTCATTGTAGGGTCAAGAATTACATGTTCCATCTAACGCTGTCGCAACTGGTATCTGTAAAGCTAAGTATTCTCAGATGACACTAAGCTGGCCAAGTAATACTAATGCAACGAATAGTATTACATTTCATATCGGTCAAAATAAGACTCACTTCTTCGTTTTCCAAATAGCAGCTGCTATCTACGACGATAAAAGTATGTTTAAGAATCATTTATATGTGACGAAATAGATTCGTGTATCGTAATTGACGCATTCCCCAATAATTTCAGATAAGAAAATGATAAATGGCGAGTCGTATATTGGCATCGATCTGTTTTCGGCAGCTGCGACTAACGGATTTTATCGTTGTCCAAATTCTATAGACACAGAACTTGACGACATCCGTCTAACAATAACCGATGTCGTTTTTATCGCATTCTATACCGACGAAAATATATATTCACCGAAAGGTAAGTTAACATCGACCATTCGATTCATTTATCCCCGATAAACTTGCAAATTCTACCAAGTACAATAAGAGTGTCCTCGATTTTTTAGTGACAGAGTGTCCCAAATTGGATCCAAATTCAACAACTTCAACAGTACCAAGTTCGCCTACTACTGAACCAATTCCAACAAATGCAACAGTATCAAGTTTGCCTACTATTGAACCAAATTCAACAATTTCAACAGTATCAAGTTCGCCTGCTACTGAACCAAATCCAACAATTTCAACAATATCAAGTTCGTCTGCTACTGAACCAAATCCAACAATTTCAACAATATCAAGTTCGTTTGCTACTGAACCTGAGCCTAATCATAATGCGATAGATTATAATTATTTTGTGACATCTGCACCAAATGTATATTGCATTGCGGCAAATATGTCGATTTCTATAGAAATACCTTACAAAACGAAAGAAGACAAAGTACGTACCCTTGGAATCTGATCTATGTACACTTGATGCAAATTATATTATATTTATGCTTACTATTAAATCAATCTTGTACACTTTAGGACACAAAGGCAACTTTGAACGTGCCGATTAATGCCACTGTGACTGGCAAGTGCGAGAATCAATGGTCGACGATGGAATTAAATTGGACAGCGAGTTCAAACAATACAGAAAACAATACGTTTACGGTGAACTTTGAGAAAGATGATTCGAACTATTTCATTAGCTCTATGAATCTGTCTATTTATCCAGAGGACCATCATTTCCCTGGACATGATACTACGGGTAAGATTTCGAAACACCAGTATAAAGTATTTTGCATTATTTACAGAAATGAAAGTTTTACATTATTTTCAATAAACAAATCGCAAATCTAGATAGATACAAATTTAACACGGAGAGGATCCATATATTCCCCGCTCCTCTGAACAAGCTCTACAAATGCGCTGACAATCCTTCGGTGACGGCTAAAAACGCCAAAATATCCATCACTAACGTTACTTTGATAGCGTTCAATACCAACGAGAAAATCACTACGGACTCAGGTAAAACCTGATCGTCAATTTTACATTTATTTCATTTTAAAGCGTGAAAATTCCATCAGAGACAGAGTTGAAGTCAAAAAAAAAAAAAAAAAAAAAAATAGAGAAACTTTAATATATTAGGAAAAAAATTTTTTAAATCTTTGAAAATACGCTGTTTATAAAGTATCCAGTTATAAAAATTATAAATTTTGACCATTTTGATAGTGCCCAGTGTTAATAGTAGAAATCATTGTCCATAGAAAATTGATGTAACGCCGTGCAACAAAATGCTAAAGATACATGTATACTTTTTCCAGTGAACTGTGTTCCAGCCAACGATACAACAGAAAGTAATGTCGGAGCCATAGTGGGAGGTATTATCGGAGGTTTAATTGTCCTTGTTGCACTTATAGCTCTATTTGTAGTGTGCAGAAGGAGAAGGGGATACTGAGATAACAATAAACGAAAGTACCGTTTGATAGTAATAAAAGAAAGCACTACTGTACATTAATGTAATAAATATGTCTATATTATATTTATTCGATGTAACGATTTTTAAACGTAAAAAATAATTTCGTAATTTTAAGCATTCAGGCAACAGCGATCTTGAAATTCTTCAAGTTGCTCAATTCGCTTTAAGAACACGTTGTCATTGGAATGAACATTCCAACAAACATCCTCGAACCCGTACGATCTAACAACTGACACATGGCTCTGGGAAACTCGTATTCGTTAATTATAACGCTTTAGGAAACAATTCCAGTTCCGTTACGGTTACGCCCACCCCAATTATCTCGTTCACTTGTCAAACTTCGATATGCATTCGTAGCGTGAGTACGCTCGTGTGAATCGAAAAATCGATTTGAACGTCGAAATGTTGTCCGATAATTTCATACACGTCGAAGACAAAGTTAATTGGATTGGGCAAATAAGTTTGCATAGAAAAAAACAACAATAACGTTATAAATAAAAAATATACATAAATTTTCTTCGTCGAATAGAAGGAATTTTTTATTCTGTAAAAGCGTCGTTCGGAACGTAAAATAAAACCGGAAAAAGATCGTATTTCATAAGAGTTTTCAGGTGAAGTAACATCAAAACGTTGGACACACCCCTCCGTTTAGTTATTTGGATATCATATCTTGGACAGCAGATGCCGTAATAAAATCCACGATAATCAGCGTTAATTGCTGGCAGGAGGATATTTACGATCGTTTTAACTATCTACCTATCGATCGAAATTTTTCACATCCGTGGGAATGTGGCGAAATAAAAATTTAATCCGGTTTGTTAAAAAGTATTTCCTAAACTAGTTTCCACCCTCGCGAAAATATCCATCATCATCCCCGTTTTCCCACGTTCGGCAATTAGTCGTGGACCATTGGCTTCTTATAATCTCGGGAACAATTACGTTTCGATTGCACTTTCTTCTTTGATGTTTTGCAACGAGGCAAGGGAAATTTGTAGAGATAATTGTGTTTCGTTTCGTCGATCTCGCGCGATAAAATGTAGTCGTAAATATTCCTTGTTGAATGAATAAACATCCGTACTGAACAAAACTCGATCGGTAAATGAAGATTTCCGAAGTTACCTGAATTTTCTTCAGGTATCTACCTTTCGAAACTATACGGAGGAACTTGATTATTCTCTCTGCAGAACAACGTGATTTATGGATTCGCACGACACAAAGAGGGAAAGATCGGAGACTTTAAATTTTAAATTTAGAGGGCACTGGACTTTTGTAAACCGGTATTTGCAAAATCGTTGGGCGGGCAAGTTTCCCGAAAGTTTCCTCCAGAACATTCTGCCAAGACACCACACTTTTTTCCATCCCATTCGTACATAAAAATCTTTTCAACGCGTTCGAAAATTCATCAAACGGAATAAATGCTTGGCTACTTTGAATCAGCTGTTCGATAGGGTCGTCCCTTTAAAGTTTAAAGGTCCTATTATACACACCTTGAGCTGGGTTCTCTTTTACAGTATCCCACGGGAAAAATTTCGGGGAAAGGAAATCGATTTTTCGTGCGAGGCAAGTGCCCTTTCTATCGTGCATATGCACGAATTTATCACAATCTCTGAGCAAGAAACGAAACACGTGTCCCGAACCAATGTGTTTTAACCATCCACGATTAACATTGACACAATTTACGTAAACGTGTCGGTGCCAATGGCACACGTCATATCCAGACGCGACAATAATTTCGTTTTGGAACGCTTTCGTTGAAATATACTGCGTAATTGGCAGGGAAACGTTGGACAGTCCGTGTCGATAGATTCGATCTGATTTGAATTCTTTATCCCGCTTTGTGTTCCTCGCGCGGTACACGGCGATCCCAGTGTCAATAAATCTTTAAGGCCAAAAGGACCAGGCATGCGTACCAGAAGGATCAGCCACGTGGCCACATCCTCTTTCCAAGAAACGATTTGTGTCTCAACCGAAGCTGCTGCCTCTCCGTTCACCGTCCTTTTCGGCACGAACCACGGCTTCTGACGGCACCGGTCCAGTTTTTCCACGTTCGCGTCCAAAACAGATGCTTTCAACGAAGAAAAAGACTGCTGCGAGACGATGTTGTCACACGTCGAATCGACTTATCGTTGTCCCTCCACATTGTCTGTGTATCGTTCGTGACGATATTCATTGAACGTTGCGTACGTTGAAATCACGTTTGATACTGTGTGTAATTTGGTGTAAAAGAAAGAAAAAAAATGGAAGGTGAAACGCGTTAACCGACAATTTGGAAGCTTCCACACACAGGCTTCCTGTTCTTCCTCTTCTTTCTTCGTCTCGGAGAACAGCATCGGCCCGCAAGACGTCCTGGAAGTATGAGGGCGCAGATGGGATTGTGTTTAATGAAGTTTCGCCCGAGTTGCACCTGCCACTTTCGTGGCATCTCGAAGCGATGGCCGTTACACTGCCTCGAGCACGGTTTAAGAAATTGGCGGGAACCACGTTCCCAGGCCCTCCTCGAAATTCGATCGCGCTTCCGATTTCGCGCTGTTTCGATCTTGAACCTTATCTCTCGCTTGTCGGTCGATCAACCACTCGACGGTATAGTCCGAGAGAGACTAGAGAGAGAGAGAGAGAGAGAGAGAGAGAAAGTTCGGTTACGTCGTTTCAATCTCACTGTTTTTAACAAAGTATTATACGTACTTTGCTGCGATTTCGCTCGTTGAATTAAATTAAAATTTCGCACATTAAATCTTTATATTTCCACGATTGCACGATGATAAAATTAATGGAGAGAAATTGATTATTTTGATCGAAATGAGAGAGTCTAGCTCGAGAACTGTCGAGGATTCGATTTCTTTGTGATCGGCTAGCGTGATCCCCTGATGGATCGTTTTTTTCCCTCGTCGGGCGGACGTGTCCTCTCAGCTTCCTGTCGAACGAAAGAAACACGAGAACCGACCAAACATCGGATCAATGAAAGTTCGATCGACGATTTAACTCACTGCGACTCAGTGTGCGATTTTAAAAACGGCCAAGTAGTTTTCTAGCAAATGCGTTCAACGTAGATACAGTTAGCCGACACGGCAAGTTCCCGTTCTCCCTTTATTCGCTGACGTGCAGGACCAGGTTTTCGAAGATGGTAGCTGCCCTCGAGGGCTGCCATCCGTCAAGCAACGTGAAAGGTTCTGCTCCTGTTTGCGGCAATTTAATTACGCCACGGCATCTGGCGATCCTGCTCGTTTCCTGGCTCAGCTTCTTTCGTTCTCTCTCTTTCTCTCTCTCTCTCTCCCCTCTTTCATCCACCCACTCGTCCGTCAGCTCTAACCGCTAAGGCAACCGCAAAACATTCGAAAACACAGACAGACCGGGAGAGAGGCATCGGTGAACTTTTGGAAACGAAACATTGAACGAAACGTAGCCGGCTCGTGGCTCGTTCAATTTCGCTGGAATCGTGAGGCTCGAGGTGTCACGAGGCAGCTGAAAACAGCTGCGATCGCTGCGTAGGACGACGTTGTTTCAAATAAACCGGTGAAACGCGTACAGTCCGTGACGAGAAGAAGTGATGGATCGTTGGTGGTGGAGGAATCGTGGGTGTTCAAACAGGAGGATTATAAAGAAACAAGCGTGGAAAGCGTATCGGTTGAGAGTATCGCGCGATTCGTTCGAACCGAGCGAGTGCTCGATTTTCTAAGCGGAACAGCTGTTCGACCTCCCTTCTGGCCGTCTCCACAGGTCGGCAGCAGATCTGCTGGTATATTCGATCTATCTGAAGAAACTATCGTGCGGAGGTGGTTTCGAGAGGGCAACGGCGATGCTAGGTATATACACGAGCAGCTGGATCGGTAAAAGGACTCGAAAAACTCTCGGTCACGCCTTCCCCCTTCATTCCCACTCCACTCTTTTATTGTTCGTCTATCTAATGCTGCTCTCTTTCGACGGAATGGCTGCTTCGCCGCAGCGTATTATCATCTCTAGTCCTTAAATTCTTAATTGCACTGCACTTGCGAGCCAATTGCTCCAGACGGCAAAGCTCTCGTGAAGAATCTTGAATTTCCTGATTGTTTGGAATATGTACGTACGTTACGAAACGTTCTTCAGAGTGGAGACAGAGGACAGCGAGCGTTTAATTTTCTCTCTCCTCCTATCATTTTGCTCGATCGCGCGGAAGGTTAACGCCGGGAAATGAACGAATGTACGACGCTGCACGCACGGGTACAAAGTGGAGAGGAACATCCTGTGTTAAACGTGACTCTCTCCACCTTCTTCCCTGTGGCTCGGTT